TTTCATCGCTTGCTCTTTTTATAAAAGAGTAGAACAAAAGAGAAAGAAAAGTTTTGCGTAAACTTCGAATTAAACTTCGAATGAATAAAAGAGTTGTATAGAATTTTTTTTTTTTTTTTTTGCGTCACTCGTTCTTTTTTTAGATGAGAGAAATAAAAGTTTAATAGTAACTTTTCTTTGAATAAATGATTATTGGAAGAGAAAATAGCTTGAAAATTTGTATTTGTTGTGTTTTAAAATTTTTCATATTAAGAGACAAATGCCAAATACGATACAAATTGGGAAATACCTAATATAATATGTTTTTTAACGCGCGTTATGACATTTTGACAATTTAAATTACCATTTATCTTGAATTATTGCCATTAATTAATGTGTTAATTATTGCGTTGTATAAAAATAATTTGTCCGTATTTTTGTTAAATATTAGTTATATAAAACGGGCGAAAATATACAAACTTCATGTTTTTATTTGATGGTTATAAAATATTGAACAGTAAATTAAACTCAAAATTTATAATGCCGACTTGTGTTGTTATTAATTGTACTTTTAAGGCAAAACCGAGATCTCACAAACCCTTTCACGAATTTGCATATCTGATACTACTGTCAACTGTATTGTTTAGTGTATTCATGTATTTTTTTTCATAACCTTAACAGGTTCTAATTGGTATGGAGTTGCCGACATTATAAAAGTTTCATTATCAAAAATCAAATGTAAAATAAAATGATATTTCCTTTTTATCCGTATCCAATTTAGCAAATTTAGCAATTTAAAATAAATCAGCGTAATCAAAAAATTTTTATAATAGAAAAAGTTAACAATTCATCATCTATCTCTAATTAATACTGTCAGTTTATGAAATTAATTGTTAATACTTTTTTTCGACGGGAAAACAAAAAATATCATAGCTTAAAAATAACCAGAGAAGTTAGAAAAAAGTTTCGATTGTTTAAATAAAAAGATTCAGAATATATAATACTGCACTCTCTTGCACAAAAACGAGAGACCCTATACATAACATTCTATATAATGTAAAACATGCGTATGAAAATCATAAGATTCGTAAGTAAAGCTTTAATATTTGTTTTAATTTAAAAACAAAAGAAATATAAGTAAGATATATAAATCTAAAAATTTTTAAGATATCGGTAAAAAAAAAGTTCCTGTTATGAAATAAAAAGCTTTTATTATTTTTGATTTTTACAAAAATTTGTTGTAAAAGTTGTTTTGCTGTATGTTAAAAATTTTTTTTTTGAATTAAAATAGAAAAACGCAGCTTTATTTTATTATTAATTACACTTTTCTTTTGTTAAAAATCTACCGTGACGAATGCTAAAACTTTTATGAATTAAACGCGCTTCGAAGGAATCGCCAAAGTCTGTAGATTGCGACGTATAATTTAAAGACTCCGAGTTATTCAAAAAAACAGAGAAGGCAAGCTTCGGCTAAAACAACAACATTAGTTTTTCTCAGTATGCATTCATTATTTATTTTTAATCAAAAAAACTTGGTTCAAACCTTTTTTTTTAACATTATCTTTAATATGAACACAACATGTGTTGGGAGTTTGGGATCCCTTTAAGCAGATTTCTACCTTTGAGGTAGAGATTTCTATCTTTGAGGCACTGCAGTCACTTCGAACAGAGATGATTGGTTAGAACTATTAAGATTAGAATAATATAATAAAGAATAAAGAATATTACACAAACTCATAATCATAAAATCTATATAATAAGAGGAGTCTACATAACAAGTAAGAAGAAGAGCCAGATGATGATCTCTTCCTCTACTTTCTTTGACGTCCTCAAGGCACTAAAAACGAACATTTAATATATAAATTTGCTACTAAATTGCTTGCAAGTTTGTTAATAATAGTAATAAAACTTTTCATTTTTAAAATAAGCTAATATTGCTTGTGGGTTTGTAACTTTTTCCTCATATACTTTGTTCTCTTTTAAAAATAAATTTTTTTATTTTTAAAATCTGCTAAGATTGCTTGTGGGTTTGTATTTCTTTTTAAATCTTTTTGTTAATACTTTTTTTTTGAAATTTTTTTTTAAATCTAATTGAAAAATTAACTTACAAAGTTATGTTGACTTTGTTTGATATTAATATAAAAACATACTACATCTGTGGGAGGATGCAGGCTGCAATGCAAATGAAATATTTATACTTTATGTTATTTTACTTTTATATAAAAAATTTTTATCTTTTAAAAGAAAAAAACTACGCTCCTTTAATCAGCAAATACTCTGTCTCTTTAGGATAAAAAGCTTGACTTAATTACAAATGTCTAGACAAACGCATTGCTAAATATCATAACTCTCCATAAAGACTAAAAAGTAGAAAATAAAATATAGCAAAAATATTTGCCAAAAATATAGTCTTTTTGTCATAAAAAGAGGAAAATAAACTTTTTAATTTAAATTTAATAGTTCCGTAAACTAAAGATTGACTAGGTTTCTATATAAACCTTGTGCAGACATGTCGATCTTT